CATCTTCATGGTGCCCTTAGGCCCCAAGTTGGTCCGCAACACGTCCTGAAGCCCCCGGGCCGCGCTGATGTTGACCGCCAACGCTGCCTGAGCCCGGGCCACCTCGGCCTTGGGATTTAGGGTCTTCACGGCCGCCATAGCTGACACAGCAGCAGAAGGAAAAAAGACCAGGCGAGAAAGTTGCCCAAATCCGGCTCAGCGTGGCCCAGCGGCGCTATCCGGGTCTTCTAGAAAAGTCGGGCGCGCCCTGCCCGCCCCCAGCGTGCCCACGCACCGTCTCCATTGGGCCGCGGGTCGGCCGGCGCCGCTCATTGGGTCGTGGTCGAACGGCGCCTGCGGCCCCGCCCCTCACGCCCGGGCTCTGGCGTCATTGCGTAGGGGAGGAGGAGCATTTTTACCTGCAGTAAAGGCTCGTGGGTATCCCGTGTCCGCGGGTTTTGCGGACGGATCCCCGCAACTAGGCTGGGCCTGCACAGATCTGTAATGCGAGAGGTAGGGGCTGTGGGCCACGTGCCCTTCCGCCCTTCGGGTGACTAGAGAGCTGGCGATCTTTCCTGGAGATCTTTGACCGCAGGGTGTAAGGTGGCATTCCTCCCTCCCCTGACTCGAATAGTTTGCCTTGTTTCCTCCCTTTCGCTTATGTTTGGCACCAGTTTTCTTGACTAAGTTCTATGTGCTTGGCAGCGTTCTAGGTCATGTGGGGTTACTGTAGTTAATCTGACTAGGACTGTGAATGAGAAAGGGGTTGAGCAAATAAACCTGATAGGTTCAGGGGGGCCATGTGCAGGCCTAAGAAGCTCAGTGACCAGAAGCAACCACACTGAATGGTCTGACTATAAAATTCCTAACTGGGCAGGTAATAACAGGTAGACCTACAACTTCCTTAGCAAAGGTTAATTTTTACCTTAAGTGAGGTCTATCCATATCTTATGCACCTAGGATAACGTATCTTTGAAATGTCAGAGTAATTTTCTTTTCCTACACCTTGAAGGCACAACTGCTGGCACCACAGCATAAGACCACAGAACCCTTCGTTATCTTGTTTCCCACATACCATCTCTATGTGCTGTAAATGTTAATTATCATCTATCCTGTACCCACCAATGTAAGAAGTATGTTTCTCCCTTTTGCCGTTTATCCAATCCTAGAGATTTCCCTGCTATGCTTTCTTCCACCTCCTTAGTATATCACCAATGGATTTCATGTAACCCTCCTTCCGTCATCTCCTTTGATTCTAATATATAAAATAGGCTGCAAAACTGCCATTCTCCAGGGCATTTTCTCCATTGAGATTTTGCTTCCCAGCATAAATAAACTCATAAAAATAAATAAACTCATAATTCTCTTGAGGTTTGGATGTTTCTTAGTTTCTTATCCTTGCCTAGGGTTTTAGGCCTAGGGAAGATGAAGAGATACAATGCAAGGTAGAACGTGCTAGATGCCTTTAAAAATCTATGGGACTCGTGTGATGGTCTTAGAGGAGAAGCGAGTCAGTTCACCCTTTGGGCTCAGAACACACTGCTGAGGCCTTAGGCCCTCAAGACAGGTTTGAAAACTCAAACTTAAGCAGTGTTGTCCAGCCTTTGAGAGGACACTTAGACAAAAATTCTGAAAAAAATGTCCACAATTGTTTTCTAGTATCCAACCCCCCCTCACCCCCCTAGTACCAGGTATTCAGTAATTTTTGTATTTTATTTTTATAGATAATGAAAATTGTTCAGAATTCAAAAAGTACCAAAGGGTATATGGTAAAAGTAGGTCTTCCTCCCGCTGGTGTAACTTCCTCCAGACAAGCATAGTTACCTTTAGATGCTCTGAATTTCCCCAGATGCTTTCTGAATTTATAAATAAATACTGGGGGGTGCCAAAAAAACGTATACAAGTGGACACTTTCGTCAACATTGCTTAAGCAGTAGTTTGCCATAATCAGAAATGTCTGGACACTGATGGTAACCACTTTGAGCACCTCTTGTAATTGCAGAAATCAAACGTGACTTGTGTTCATCTTTTGTTATCAGTATATATCAAGTATTACAATTTTAATACAGTTTTCCTTTCTTAAAATGTGTATACATTTTTTTGGCACTCTCTGTATATATCTACATAAATATAAGCATTTTCCCTCACAAAATGGCAATTTATAATACTCACTGTTGGGTATATTATACTTAAAGTATCTTGGAGATGATAGCATATCAATACAAACAGGGATTCCTTATTTTTTTTCCCCCAATTGTATTAGTCTCTTTTTATTCTTTTAGTAATCTCTTCCAGAGTTAACTACTTATGTTTCCAGGTGATGAAATGTCTAAGGAATCTACTTCAAATGTTGGCTGTGAGCATTGTCTTTCCCTTTACTCAACTCTGAATTAAGACTTTTGATCCTTTTTTTGTTTTTTAAAGATTTTATTGGGGAATTGGGAGAGGGGAACAGACAAGTTGCTGTTCTTTTGTTCTTCAGTCTACTTGTGGAGGACATTGCTTCACTGGCCTATGTTGGTATTGTGATCATTGAGGACTTCCTGGCTGAGGCAGATCGGTCGCCGGCCATTTGATGGTGGCTCACGGCAGCTCACACCGGCTGCCGGCTGCTCACACTGGCTGCCAGCCACTCATGGTAGCTTATGGCAGCCCACTGCGGCCTACATTGTCACCGGCAACTCACGGCAGCCCAGCTCCAGGTCGAGCTGTTGTTCACCATCTTAGCTGTGGAGGGAGCAGTGTCAATAGCCCATGTGGGATCCGAACTGGCAGCCCTGCTGCTCAGAGCTTGCGCTCCCAAGCCAACTCTTAACCAATGAGCCACTCAGGCGGCCCTAATCCTTGTTTTTTATATTCCAGTCCCAGAAGTAGTTTTCACTGTGGACGTTATCTAAAGACAATCCTTCGCTTTATATATAGTAGTGGTCTACCAGGCTCTAGCTTTTCCAGGAACACTACACAGGATGGATTTAAATATGTATTAAACTAAGAGGCATTCTCTCAAATGAGTTTATTTATTTTTTAGACAATCTACATGACATGATTTTCTTAAAAACAATGCCTCGGGCCGGCCGAGTGGCGCGATGGTTAAGAACTCGCTTGGGATGCCAGAGGGCCCCGGTTCGGATCCCACATATGAGGGCCAGTAACACTGCCCTCCACAGCTAAGATGCTGAACAACAGCTCAACCTGGAGCTGGGCTGCCTGAGTCGCTGGTGACGGTGTAGGCTGCAGCCCCTGTTGCAGTGGGTTGCCATGGGCTACCGTGTGTAGCCAGCAGCCAGCGTGAGCG